CACTTTCTTGCAAAGAATTTAATTTTGGGTTAGAAGAGTAAGGGATCTTATGCATGGGGGCGTCTTATACACGAAAAAAATACTGTATGTTGTTTTCTCTTCCCAGAAGCTTCTGGAAGGGATGGGGGCTTTACAATAAAATACAGTGGAGGAAACCTCACCTGTCACTAGAACAAAAACTGAAACTGAAAAACTACAAAAATCAAACTGATATGGGACTTCCAGAAACATTCAATTTCCATTATTTGTAAATTGAGCTCTGCAGCTCTAATTTTGGACTGGATCTCCCAGAAATTTGTGTAGCTGCATTCATATTTGCTTAGTTTGAAGCTGTATGCGCATAACTAGCTTATGGGGGTGGAACATTGGCTCTGGGACCTTCTAAAGCTGTCCTTTCCAAATCTAGCATAACCCTCTTCCTTACAAAGGATGCTTATAACACCATAAATCATTTCCCTATGATCATTCAGATCCAGTAAAATGTATACAGTATTTGTCAACTGCTAAAAGCAGGAGCTTATGAAACTTCACATCCCCACACAGTGATACTGTTGCACCCCCTAGTGAAGCACTTAAGAAAAAGTTTCATCCTAGTACATAGGTAAATAGTAAGGTAATAAAATTCCTCTGCTGTAGGATTTGCTTTTGGAGATGATCAGTTGTGTTGCATAAACACATTTTATGTATGCAGACCATATGCTGCAGCCTGCAACGCTGGATGTGCTGCAATAAAGTATTTAAACCATTCAATGTCATGTACTGTATGTATTTAAGTGCCAGGAAATTGTTACTTTTGTATCTCCACACCAAGTTGTAGGTGCTTCTGATAAAGTGTATTACACCTTTCCCTATTCCTGATCAGCTTGATTAATATACAATTTTTAGTATCCAAAGGGCTTTCAAAGCAGTAACTGTTTTTCTAGAGTTTATTCTGTGCAAGTCCCCATATCTAGCTTGCCCTAGTCTATACGATGAGAGCTGGCACATGCCTCAACATGCCCAGGATGATGTATTCAATGGATCTCCAGCATTCCTCTCCTCCTCATAGCTCAATAATTCCCAATTGTCCCCACGTGACTATGAAGGATTATGGGGCAGCCTTTGTAGGTCAGGCAGCATAGCTTCCATTTGGTGACAGTTTATGATGCTACACGGAATGTCTGTCCTGCCCAAAATTTTATGGTGTTTTATTTTATGGAAACCCTGAATTGCTTGGAGAGTTGCATCTGTATTTCCTCTGAATCAATCCAGAGAAAGCTAGTTTTTTCTGGTAAAATAACATTTGCAAGTTGCATTTAGATCTGGAAGAAATTCAGAAAAAATACAAGTACTGTCTTAACCGAGTATTTGTTCTCATAAAACTGCTGGGTTCTGCAGTGGTGGTTTTGATACCTGCTTGCTCCCTTAGTTCAGTGGTTGGTTGGTATTTTTTTTTTCATTTTGTTTCCCTTCAGCATGGTTTATGTTTAGTCTCACTTTGTTCTGGAGGATGGAGGTGTGGCATGTAACTGAAGCTCCAGAGTTAGAACCTCCTGGTGGAAAGCTTTCGGTTACACAATTAGAACTCAAAGGAAAGCTCTGGAAGGGAAGTGGATTTTTAAAATATTTAAAGATTTATTTTAAAAAACCCATTTCTTAAAGAAAACTGTTTTCTTACAGAGATGGGAAAGAGCCTTTCAACAGAAAATTCAGATGCAAATTCTGAGAAACCTCACTCATTCTCGACAAACCTAGAAAAAGGGAGTTGGAGCTTTTTCTCCACCTGGAAACTAGGCTTGTGAACCAGGGTAGAAGAAGACCTCTCCCCCCCAAAATTTTGTGAGGTGGCTCCTTGTCCTGGTCTATGAGCCACCTTTACCTGGAAAGGCCCTAGGTTTAGCCAGCTGAACACCACACTAGAAGTAAAGAAGAGAATATCTGGGCTTTGAAGTTTGAAACTGTTTGTAGAAAAGAATAACTCATAATTAACACAGGACATTTATTATCACAAGATGCATGGACTATTTTGGAAGGCTCTTTTAAGAAACCAAAGACAAGAAATCCTTCGCAAGAGGTCAAGCCTTCTTCTCTGTGACACCAGCTCTCTCTAACCAGCCCCAGGTGGAGCTGTGATGGGCTCCCTCCCTCCCAATTTTTAGAAGGCACCTCAAAACTTTGCTTCTTAGAATGGCCTTTCACAGCAACCCATGCCTTGAGGCCCACCTGTTATCAGAATGATAACACCTCTTGTTGTCATTTATTTTTCTGACTGTTTATTTATAACCTTATTGTTCTTGTGGTGTTTTAATTTACTATACTGAAAACCATCCAAAACAGTGCACTGCATGCACTAATGGGGTGGTATTTTATCTATCTATCTATCTATCTATCTATCTATCTATCTATCTATCTATCTATCTATCTATCTATCTATCTATCTATCTATCTATCTATCTATCTATCCATCCATCCATCTATCCATCCATCTATCTATCTATCTATCTATCTATCTATCTATCTATCTATCTATCTATCTATCTATCGCCTGCTTTTCTCCCAATAAGGGCACTCAAGGGAGCTCAAAGAATTAAAAACAACAGAACAAAAAACTTAATAAATTATAAAAATTATACATTAAAATAACTTAAAGCTACAGTATAATACTGATCATACATTAAAAGATTTAAAACATTAATTTTTTAAAAAACAACCTTGACTAAGAAAGGGCATTCAGGGACTCAGTTATGATTGTTACCAGCCATAAAAAAAAGCTGACAATTTATATTAACTAAAAGAAACACAGCCCGCTTCTTCGATCTGTCCCCTGCAGACTTCGCGATCACCTAGTCAGGCTCTGCCCCACCTGTCGAGCCTTCTCCGACACCGGAAGTACGTCAGGGAGATTCTCCCTCCTTCCCTCGTAGCTCCGCCTCTTTCCGGCATGCCTTGTGCGCCCCCCCAAGATGGCGGCGCCCATGAGACAAGCTGTTGTTAAGCTCTCCTTGTGCTCTTATTTACAGGTACTGGGAGGGAAATGTCTCGTTTTCCATATGCCTCATTTGTTTCTCCCGCAGTGCCGTGCCGTGCGGGGCGTGCTCTGGATCGTGCCCCTTAATGATGCAGAATTTTGTGGAAAAAAATTATATGCCGGGGAAGGGCACAGCGGGTTCGTCCCTGCAACAGGCTTTCATTTGCACGATCAGTTTCACGACCAGTGTGCACCCAGGCGTACAAAATACAGCCCGCTGTAGGGGGGAACTGAAGGGGAGGGATGATGATGACAGTCCTGGGATTATTTCCGGGTATAATTTTCGCGTGTCTGTGTTGCTTTCCATTCCTTTATAATTCTAGAGTTTTGCTAGTCAAAAATACAGAATAAATAATTGCTATTTGTGCAGGTAACTACCGAAGTAGAAATAGTAAAGACACTCAATCTCTTTCTCTGCCTCTCCAATCTCATGAAGAGGGAAGGAAGAAAAGAAATGGACAGCAAGGAGAGGGCAAAGAAAACTTTTGATGTCTGAGGAAAGAGAGGCAATACAATGTGATATAATGAGTTACTATTTCTCTCTAAAATTTTCGTTTTAGAAAGAGAATTTTATATGTTTATGTGAGTCCTGTTTAGGGAAGGTATCTTACCTGCATCTGAAGAGTACTACAAATGTTAGTATGTGCACCATTTCCAAGCAGCAAGATGGGAAGGAGGACCATCAGCTATTGCAATTGTTTGTTTAGAAGAGCTATACTGTATTGACTTTGTCAAGGCAAAAAGTGTGATTTTAGTCTGTATGTGGTAGGGTACCTATGAACTTTGGGCTGGATAGTTCAGTGAGTCAGGTATCTATGAGGGGGTGCTGATAAGTATTGAGCCTTTCCCAGAAAAAATTGAGATAGTAAGCTGTAACTGCCATACTAGTCTACATATTCCCACAGGAAGTTGATGCACGTGAGGCATCTGTCCTGCAGCTTCTTAAGTCCCTGCAAATAAAATTCTTCCTACTGCTGGTGTAACCACTCATTTGCAGCATTAGTTGCCTCCAGAACACTCCCAAATTGTTGTCCCTTTAGGTGTTTTTTTGAGTTTGGGGAACAAATAATAGTCAGAAGAAGCCAGGTTGGGAGAATAGGGTGGATGGGGCATCACTTGAAAGCCTAAGGACGTCAGTTTTGCCATTGTTTCACCTGCAGTGTGTGACGAAGCGTTGTCATGCAACAGGATGACACCTTTGGAGAGCTTTCCTAGACATTTTTCTTTGATGTTTTGCCTCAACTTCGTCATTAAAACACAGTAATATTTTGCATTGATGGTTGAACCCTGTTGGAGGTAGTCCACCAGCAGAACTCCCTTCTTATCCCAAAAAACTGTTGCCATTTGCTTCTGCACCCACCTTTGCACTTGGAACTTCTTTGGCCTGGGGGAACCACTGTGCCTCCATTCCTTAGACTGTTTCTTTGTCTCAGGATCATGATAGTAGATCCGTGTCTCATCACCAGTTACCAGTTTGCCCAGGAAATCTGACTCATTTCTTGCAAAATGTTCCAGAACAGCCACCAGTGACTCCACACGTTTCCTCTTTTCAGTTGTCAAAAGTTTGGGGATCCACTTTGCTGCCAGCTTTCTCATTTCCAAGTTGTGGATAATGGCACCAGTGCTCTTACGTGATATTCTCAGATATAGAGCAATAATTTTGGCTGATATTCCACGGTCCTCCATGATCATGTCATGGATGGCTTTCACATTTGCAGGCACAGAGACAGAAACACACCTTCCACTTGGTTTCTCACTTGCAACACCAAAATGGCCAGTTTTAAAACTGACAGCCCAACGTTTAACTGTTGCATATGAAGGGCCACTGTTCACCCATAGTTTGTGATATTTCATCATGGATCTGCTTTGCACCTTTCCCTTGGAAAAACAGGAACTTGATTATGGTCCTATGCTCTTTGACACTGAACTTTTCTGGAGGTGCCGCCATGTTCACTTTGGACCGGAAAATGAAAGTTAAGTTAAAATCATAGATAGTTGATTTTTGCACCATTGAATATAGACAGACTGGCCAATATACCCTGCAATTTATAGCTTCCTAGCTCAATTTTTTTCTGGGTAAGGCTTAATACTTAGCAGCACCCCCTCATAGCTGCCAACTTTAAAGGCTTTGAGTTCATTTCCTCACTTTGCCTTCCAGAAGAAAAGCCAGCCTGTGCAGCCTTAGACAAAGTACATTGACCCATATGGCCCCCAGAAGAAAGGAATGTTAAACTGCTTTTGAGAACTCTTTAAGTCAGAATTTACTTGACAGCAAATTATTATTTCTGTGTTTGGTGGAAAAATATATATTTGTATTGCATTTTGGGACATGCTGGTTAGGGTTTTTTGTTTAGGAAATGTTTTTAGCTGCAGCTCTATAAGACAGCCTATCCCTAAAAGAGGAGACATAACCATGCGTAGGTAAATGCACTCTTTATTCTGCTTTGGGTATGCTTTCATGTTTCTGTGTTGATCTCTCTTTTTATGTGGAGTGGCAGGGAGAAGGAAAATATGTCTTAGAGACTGGAGAAATTTTGGAGAGAAAAAAACACAATGCTGCTTATGGGGACAAGCAAAAAATCACACAACTCCCTCTTTTCAATAGAAAGTGAGCCAGTAACTCTGTGTATAAATACTGATGTATACTAAAAGGATGTGGAATCATAATGCATATTGTTCAATTGTGTAGTTTGGGTTGCTGTAAAATAACTTGATGTGAGAAGCAGATAGATACTGTAATTTGTTTCCATGGGATGTAACAAAATGCTAGTTCTTTGACAAGAGTGTGGCCTTTTTTTTGCTCCATAGAGTACAGGATGTCTATTGAATCCCGCCCGTTTGACTCCATCCTCTCTGGTGATGCCAGTGAGAACAAAAAAGAGAGGCTATACTCCTCCTAAATCAATAAATGATTTTTCTACTCCAGAAGAAGCAATGAAATATGCCAGGGCTGCAGGGATTGTGATTCCTCATGAAGATAATTTTCGGCCTATTAATATTTTCTGCACAGGTGGGCATGATAATTTGCTTATATTCTTCATGGTTTGGGGATAGTTTCTGTTTGTTGCCACCCATAAATATTTTCCAAAACAAAGGAGATGGAAACAAACAAGCACAAGATATGGTGTGGCTTCTTGATTTTGCTTTAATTAGCCCTTTGTATCTTTCTGTGTGTCCTTTTTCTTGGGAAGCAGAAGTTTATTTCTGCTGGGAAGCTTGGGAGAGGGAAGATGATCACACAGAATAGACTGCTGTGGAATCTTGAATGCCAGAATAAAATGGATGACTTATTATTCTACTCTTTTAACATTGTCCGGACTAGATCAGATGGAAAGCTCTTTAATCTCTCTAGATTGAGAGCAAAGACCAAAGTCCAGCTGAAATGCATGAGGGACTTCCTCTTTGCAGACGATGCAGCCATTGTTGCCCACTCTGCTGAAGATCTCCAACAACTCATGAACCGTTTCAGCAAGGCCTGCCAAGACTTTGGACTAACAATCAGCCTGAAGAAAACACAAGTCATGGGCCAGGGTGTGGGAAGCTTGGGAGAGGGAAGATGATCACACAGAATAGACTGCTGTGGAATCTTGAATGCCAGAATAAAATGGATGACTTATTATTCTACTCTTTTAACATTGTTTGGATAATCATTGATGCAACATAGCCATTCTTATGGTGGGTAGGTGGTTTTGTGCTTGAAGTGTTTTGATTACATCTTTTGTACCTAAGGCATGGCATTTGCCTGAGTGGGTATTGGTCTGTAAGCATCAGTGTAGCTTGCATAAATGCATTTATTTTATTTTCTCTTCAGCTTTTTGTATAATATATTTCTAGAAGAATTTTCTATTATAAAATATTCAGAGTGGCTTTTGTTTCTGACAATAATGAATGATTTGCATGTGTACAGCTGCAGTGTAATTATTGTGTTGTCAAGCGATGATGCATATCTCAGGCTTAACCATCACCATTTTCACTAATAGTGAACTCAGAACGCTGAGTGTGTAACAATATTCAAGTGGAGGGAACACTCCCAAAAATAAAAATCCCAAAATACAGTATATAAGGGTGATGGATACGCAGTAGCACAGATACTTGCAAAAACATTGGAGAAAACTGCAAGTTCTTGACCATAACTTTTCATTCTACTCATGGGAGTAGAATGAAAAACAGGGTGTGATTTATCAGATGAGTGTATGACTACGGCAATGTTTTCTTTGCCCCCAAAGAAAAAATGGGGGAGCGAGGGAATTGTGCTTTCTCTTTGCTCCTCCGTGTCAACTGGCAAATCAGAATGGTAGAATCTGAGCACATAGTGTTGGGAGACAGAGGAACCGAGGATGGGGCCCGTTATCATTGTTTACCCCATTTATCCAGGGGCTGGATGAAATACCTGCTTTGTGGTTAAATCCACCACAGCCCTGTATATGATTATTCATATGATTACAGTAGTCCAAAGCTCTCTTCACACCTGAATATGAGCGGCCTGCCAGTGGCAGGAGAGGCTGAAAAATGATAACAAAATTGTGCTGTAGGTTCAGCTTTTTAATGGTACTGTTTCAAATGAAGTGCTTTTCAGTGAAGTCAATTTACATGTACAGATCTGTTCTATCTGTGCAATAGTAATTAATATGAATATGCTGTCAATTGATTTGATCTTTTGTCAGTTTTCCCTGGTACAGAAATGGGTTGCCAGGCCCTCCTCCATGTGGCACTTTGGGACTCTGCAGCTTGCTACATGGTTTGGGTAACCAATTAGCTATTTGTGGTCAAGATGATCTTGGCTGACCTCTCCCAGAAGGCACCGTGAGAATTGAAACACTTAGCCCTTGGCTCCACAGCCAGGCATCCCGGCTAACTGAGTTCTCAACTCCCAGCATTAGTTATGCTGACTAGGACTGGTAGATGTTATCATTCAGCAGTGACTGATAGGCCAGAATCCACCACCTGTGTTTTATCTCAGCTCAGTCCTTTGCTGTGCTGCTGTCTTGTTTCCCAATAGGTATTGGTGGTGCTGTGCTCTGCCTACACCGTACACCTGCTGTCTAAAGCACTTACGGTCCATTCTTTTACCTCAGGGCTCTTAGCACTTTCTGCTGCATATGCTGACCAGGCTTCAGATTGCAGTTAACAAATCTTGAGCAAACAAGGGATGGGCAAGCATGTGTGAACCAGTCTTCTGTCTTGAGGTTTACTTCCTAATTCCTCTCACACACCACATGTCCATTTGCTTCTCACCCTTTGTGTCTTTCTCTCAAATCTTCCTTTCTTTCTGTTAGGCCTCTCCTATGGCAACAGCTCCAGGGCCATTTCCTCAGCTTTGTTGTCTCTGTAGCGCAGGGCCATGGAGCACATGGGCCCATGTGGCCTCAGGGGCCCAAATTGGCTCCTTAATATGTAGGGACTCCACAGTGTTCCCTCACACACAAATGTCTGGAAATGTTTTTCAAAAAAGGCTTGCAAAATCCCCTGGTATCTTATGCGGGCAACTTTGCCATGTTTGGAACTCCCAACATGCTCCAAGCACTCCATTCCCTCCCGAAACTTAATTTTAAAAATTGGAGGGCCACTAGAGGGTGCAAGGGGGATTTTTTAGTGATCCCTCCTTCAGTTTTTGAAAGTTAGTACAGTACTCATAAAGAGTGGGTATAGCTTTCCAAGGTCCAGGGATAGGTGCCTGTGGCCCCCAGACCATTGGAGGTGGTCTAGCCCTATTTTGTTACAATTTAAAACAGGCAAATCACTATACCCAATGGTGAGAGATTATGGGGGTTGCAGCTTAAAAACATTAGAGGACTCCAGTTGAAAATCCTTGCCCTGCTCCACTGTGTTTTGATACATAGAACTTTTAATTGACATTCATTTCAAGCCTCAGTTACCTTTGTCTGTACAGTAATCCTGTCAGGTGGATCACTATGTCTTTCCATTTTACCAATATTGACTGTATGATTTTTAGTTTTATATACCTCACTTGCCTCATACCTTCAGTGCAAAATTCTTACAGGGTATCAGTAGAGAACTGAAACTGTAAGTAAAGGCTATAATGTAAGTATACAACTTGAACCTGGAATTCGTGGACCCACCTCCTTTGAAACGTATTGACTTCTTTTAAAGATCCATTTTGTTTTAGTGAAATATTATGGCTCTTTCCTTTCCCTACAGGATTAATTTGCAATTGCTCCTTATCTGGTTTAAAACAGATTTTAAGTCTTCAGTGCAACAGCTCATAAATTCCTTAACTTGGATGCTTCCGTACATCAGGGAGCAAAAGTGCATGCTTTAATTCTCTCTTCCAGTTCTTAATGGGTATTTTATATTAGTCTTAGACTTGCAGGAGTGTATTTTGTGTAAAAATAACTTTCTGGCTTCTGTTACATTTGATTGCTTTTTGTTTTGATTGCACAGCTGGCATCGCCGACGCTTATGTTCCTCCAGAAGGAGATGCCCGAATGTCATCTTTGTCAAAAGATGGGCTGAAGCAAAAGACAGAGCGACTCAGACAGTTGGCAAGCACACAACTGTCGTATGTACCATTCCAGCTTATAGCAGCTGCCCATTCTGATACAATATTATTTTTTTCTTTCTAGCATTTGCTTCTGTGTATCACAGGACACCCATTAGACAAGTATTTTTAAAAAATTCATAGAGATGTATTGTTTCTGGAAATTTTGAAGCCATATAAAACGGCTTTGGGGGGGGGAAAGGGGGGGAAAACGTTTTTCCATTTTTTTCCCCACAGGCCTTCCCATGTCTAAGCAAGATGGAGTCCTGGCTAGATGTGTAAAATTTATGAAAATACCACAGGCCTTCCCATGTCTAAGCAAGATGCAGTCCTGGCTAGATATGTAAAATTTCTGGAAATACTGAAGCCATATAAAATGGCTTTTGGGGGGGATGGAAAAATGGGGGGGAGTTTTTTCTTTTTTTCCCAAAGCCATTTTATATGGCTTTTAACATTTCCAGAAATTTTACCTCTGTAGGTCAGAACAACTACCCTAAAAGTTCGAAGTAATGAGTATGCCTTGTTACAAAGAAAGAAGATTTAGTCCTTCTGAGGCTGCTCATTTCAGCTTTGTGAAATGTATTTTACAACTGAATGTTTTGCCATAAAATAACTTGTGTATAAAAGATGAGTGGGTTGAGGAGGTTTGAATGTTTCTGTTTGACACTGTCCTTTCACAGACAAGGAGTTTTAAAAAATTCTAGTTTCTGACATTGGGAGACTTCTTCTACTTGCATTCTGAGCCGCTACAGTGCTAGCAGGTACAGGGTGGTTTTCTTGGCTGCCTTTATTGGCTCTTGCTAATTCACAGATACCAAACCTGCACTCTGCAAGATATTTAGGTATGGGTAGATAAAGCAGGAGAGCATCCAGCACTGGCCTCTTAGATGCCCTGTGTACACTCATAAACAGAATATACTGAAGCTGGTACCAGTCCTTTGTAAACTCTAGTGTACTGCTGCTGAACATGGAGGTTCAGTTCCTACATGTCTTGGTTAAATCATTAAGTCTTTCAGAGATTAATCTATTTAAAAAACCTTTTAGAAACATTAGAAGCTTAGTTTCTAATGATTATGTCTTAGGAGAACACATTGTCTAAATCAGTGGTGGGCAACATATGGGCCTCCCTTTGGGCTGCAGCTCCCATCAATCCTAGCCAGTATAGCTAATGATAAGGGATGGTGGGAGTTGCTATATGGGAATTTTTTCTTTGGTTCATAATTTGCTTCGTATAAAATTGTTTCATCAGTAAGAGGCCCTAGTCAATCTCTAATGAGTTCAGTAATGAATTTCTCTCCCTGTTTCTCCTTCTGAATAGGAAGGGAGTTTGAAATCAAAGTGCTTTACTTCTAGTAGTCAAGAGCATGACTGCAGGAAGTCCTGCCTTCTAGCAGGCAAGGTCAATCCAAGATTCTAGAGAAGGAGCTACATAGTATTAAACAAATTTAGAAAGCAAGCAATGGAAAGAGCTTCCTGTTCCTGCTGTGTTTGCTCCAGAGCACAATATGTTAGATAATATAAAACCTTTGCAGGAATTTCATTAGTCTAGATATAGTTCTTACGTATTGGGGGGTAGGGGGGGAACTAGCCTGAAGCAATATATATCAGTACAGTTGCTTTCTTTGCACCATAACTGTTTTCTCTCTATCATCCTTTTCTTGCCCTGGCAGAATCCGAAAGATTCGAAAACTGGATCCTAAATTCAACGTCAAAACGTTTGCAGAGGAAGCCCAGAACATATTTATTGAAGCTCACAATAATTTGACAAAGTAAAAATGGTTTTTTATATTTCTTTGGGTTCATGCTATTGTTTCCACCCTGCAGCCCAAACACTAGTTTCACAACAGCAGTCAACTTTATGGGACCTAAAGGACTGGTGACATAAAGCAGGCTAGATACTTTTAATTGAACCAATGTAGGTTGGTATATAAAGGTTTTCACAAAGTTCTTTAGGCAAAATTGACTTCTGTAAACAGAGGTTTGAATACACCAGTCTCGTGAACGCTAAATTCATGTGATGCTAATATATATTCCAGTGTTATCCCTTGGGATGTTTTTGATGCTTTTTGTCAAACTTCACTATGTTTTAGGGAGTCAACTCAAGATTACTCTGTGCTCAACAGAACTTTTTGTATACATGTTGAAGGAATGTGAGACATTGTAATGAAAAGATTGAAGGATTACAAATTGGTGTACCTATACTAATTATTCTTCTGCTTCTGGCAATTGAGTAAGCCATCTTCTACTATGCCAGGAAGAGGAGGGTCCTCTGTCCTCATGGTCCCATGTGCAGCAGAGTACATAGAAGCTAATATTTTATTGGCAGCTAGAGAGTAGACCCATTGAATCAACTGCCAAGTCATCAGCGCTAAATAATTCTTACCTAAAGCCCATTGAATCAATGGATCTACTCTAGTTGGTACTAGCAATTGGAATAGATACCAGCCATTTCTTTCCTTTCCTGTTGTACTTTGCAGAAGCTGGAAGGAAGAGCTCTTCAAAGGCTAGTGTAAAGTGAGGCTAGATCTTTTGAAATCTTTAATACAACAGTGGGAGAAATGTAGTCCTTTGCATGTTATTGGATTGCATCATCTCTCACCATAGAATGTGTTAATTGTTCTGATGAGTGTTACAGTCCAACATTTGGAGGGTTGCATGGTCTTCACCTTTGTTATAACACAAGCAGAGGGCAGTGGTGACCGCATGGAATATCAAATGCCAAAGCAACATTGTTGGCCCCTGCTGTTAAAAAGTTAGTGTTTACCCCAAGGTGCCTGCTGCACTTGTGTAGTTGTGAACAGGCTGCAGCAGAAAGATAGTTACTCTATTGAACCAAACTCCTACTGAGAGGCTTAATTTTGACCAGCATAGTTCCCATAAATTTAGCTTGGATAAATTATAGTTGTTGTCCATCTTTAACCAAGAACAATAATGGGATCTTGAATGTGCTTAAATAAATAAGACTGTGATCTTGTTACAGTGCTCAAGGATGGGGGAAGGTTCTTGCCAGTGCCGCTGTTTGTAGGAGCTCTCAAGAGTTATGTGGTTGTATCTGTTTGAATGAGTGCTGACATGCTTTCAGTTTGTTTGCTGCTACTGATAGAATACTAAACATTTTTACAAGAATAATCTCTTGGCTGTTCAGGCATTTTGATAGCTGAATACTTTTTATTCCTTTTACAGCTTCAACAAGGACAAGTTGCATGATTTAGTGACTGAGCACTGTTACCCGGTAAATATCTGAGAGTTAATCAATGAATGTCTTGCTGAAGCGTTAACCTGCTCTCCTCCCCACATTTTTGGAAAGCAATGTTGATGCATTATGTACACTCTCGTGTATCCGACACCTACAGAATTTCTTCACTATATCCCCGGATTGCTACTCCTGATAGTTTTAACTATCAATTGATGGGTTCCTGTGTTCATACATAGAGACATTAAAGGAATGTTGTTGTTGTTGTTTAGTCGCTAAGTCTTGTCTGACTCTTCGTGACCCCATGGACCAGAGCACGCCAGGCCCTCCTGTCTTCCACATTAAAGGAATGGTGGCCCCTAAATAAGGCACCTAGGTTAAAGGAGTTTTGAAGGATCCCTGCCCAGGAAACTGGAAATGTGTTATCAGTCAGAACAGACTGTACTGTACTAAATGGACCAAGAATCTGACTTCTAACTGCAGATGCATGGAATTGAACATGGAATACTGTACTTTCAATACATGCCCTGCTACTGTTCCTTCCAGATTTACCGGTTGCCTCAGAGGGGCATGGCCAGATCCTTTTTTTAACTAATCCCCGGTTCACATTTGGGTAGATGCCTGAGGCATGGACCACTGAGTTAGTTTAGGTTCGTTTGTCCCGCCAAAGTCTCCTTCCATTGAGGAAGGAAGTTAACCTTTGCCATAGGAGCCTTATAGGGAGCGTTGGTGTCCATCATCTCAGAAGGGATCAATTACATTTATAAAAGCAGAACCACTGTTTTTTTAAAGTAGGTCCATAATCATATGGGTAGAGACAGTAGAAGACAGGATTTGTACATGGTTGTATATTGTTTGCAGTATATGCATAGTCACTATACGGAGAATGGCCACTTGGCAACCATAGCTCCTGAAAAGTAGAAATCATGAGTCTCTGAAGGTGTTTTACTTTGTTATTACTTGTGCAATGCTTGAAGATAATTAAAGGAACTTTCAAAAAGCTGATGACGAAAGCATGCAGGGAGGAGAGAAGTATATAATGCCCTGTTGTATTACATGTAGTCTAGGTTCTCCTCTAGAGCAGAGAAGAGCAGAACACCTTGCAACCTGACAAACAGAAGCCAGCCCCTGCAGGGTTTAGTCCTTCAGCCTAGTTGATCTTTAGTGTTTTCTTATCTCAGAAGTTGATGTGGGTCTGTCTCAGGCCTCCAAGGCTATTTATTGCCTTAGGCCACTGGGTCTCACTGATTGTACTGTGCACAAAGTTTTGTGGGTGTCAGCATCTTGACCTGTTTGTTGTGGTTAGCATGACAGATCATAGTACTCCACAACTTGATTTTGCTTTCTATGTCCATCTATACGTTCTGTAGCCCAGAAGGCAGGGGAAAATACCTTCCATGCTTAGCAATTTGGTTGTAACTAAGAATGTCCTGATATTTTCAATTTTCCAAGTTCCTAAAGCACTTTTTAAAAAAAAAGACAAGTCCCTTAGTTGCTCCTTTTTTCCCCACTAGAGATTCCTCCTGAATCTGCTGCCAGCTCCTGGTGTAGTGTGGTTGAGACTGCAGGGTGTGAAAGAACCAAGGGTGGGAAATTTCACAAGGGCACGATTCATGTCAAGTGTTCTGAAATCTTCAAATCTTCAGATTATTCCTAATATTAAATTATTCCTAATATTAAATATAGATGTTAAATTGTTAGGAAATGGTGCGGGGAAACAAATACAAGACTATCAGGTGGAGATTTTTGGAGTCCCTGGAGCCCCCACGGATTGTTCAGGTGCGACTCTCAACTATGGTGAGCCAAGAAAATATGTATGGACAAGTGACAGTTCGAATGCACACCCGACAGGTACGTGTATGCACCTTCATTCCAGATGGGATATACAGTGTTGTATTTTGCATAACACTGCCTCATACCAAAACCTTGATTTACCATTCTTCTTGACAGACTCTGGCTATTTATGATCGTTTTGGGAGGCTGATGTATGGTGGGGAGAATATACCAAAGGATGTCCTGGAATATGTTGTGTTTGAGAAGCACCTGACCAACCGGTATGGCCAGTGGAGATTACATGATAAGATTGTTCCTTCTTGGGCACCTCCAAAGGACCCCGTCATCAAGGTACTTTGTAGGAGCCGTGCTGCTTTGCATTTTCCTGACTCCTGGCTGCTGTTTCTAAAGCATTCTCCTGTGTGTAGACACAAGCACTGTGCCTCATTGGAGCAATGTAATGTTGCTAGCATTCTTGTTTTCCATTTTTGTAGGACTTCATACCTTTCATCTCCAGTTGAAAGAGTAGCCTGCTCCCAATCTCTCAGCAGCTTGGAAAATTTAGGGTGTGATCAGATGGGCATTTGTCCTACTGTTTGGTCTGCTGTAAGGAGAGGCTGTTTCACTTCTTTTTCCAGTGATCACACAATGTAACTGGAGTGAAACAGTCCATCCCCATAGTATTGCTACCCACACTGAAAATGAACCAAAGTGGAGCTTGTGGCTTAAATTTGCCTTCCTCAGTTTCCCATATTGTGAAGTGGCTTAAGAAGACAACTACTTCACAATATTATAATATCAAATACGTTTTTTAAAACTATATTAGGGTAGCGCTGATGCAGTACACCACTTAGAAAGAAATGGAAAACTTCCTCCTGGAAGCAGGAGGAGGATGACATAACAAATACGGTCACCAGAGGTGCCTAGGCCATTTGGATGCAAGGATCATACCAAATGGCACACTGAACTTCTGCTCGACCTGAAGCAATGCTGTTTAGCCCATACCAGCCTGCTCCAAATGAGCCCATATAGATAAGCCCTTATTGTCTAAAATTACAACTCCCCAGATCCCTCTACCAGCTTGGCCAATAGCCAGAGCTGTAGTCTCAGAAAAGAATTTCACCAAGCTCCGGTGCATGTTTCATTGTCATGCAGGGATTTGGAGTTTGGTCTCATAAAATTGCAACCTGTTTAGGGTGTACTGCAAGTGCTAAATTGTATAAGCGTGGCTCCGTTAATCACAGAAATGTGTCTGTTGCAATTAAGGGGCATGTGTGTTGAGAACACACACATAGGAGAGTGGCAGACTGTCCAGAGCATAGTTTGTGCATGCAGCTTGGGTTTCTATTTTTACTCTGTCCTGTGCTCCTGTAGCACTTGCCCAACTGAGTGTCTTCCAGTGTTAGTTTCCGGAACGGATTATCGTCGCTATGTGGGGCACCACTATATGCTCTCCAAAGCCCTGGTTTCCATCACAATCAAAGATTTTGCTGAGAAGCAAAGCCCAAGGTTTTGGTGAGGTTAATGGGTGAGGTTACACAAATGGAGTTTGGCACAATCCTGAACTGCAGTGTGAGCCACAGCTGAGAAAAAGCAAAACCTGTGTTTTCTACCAAACACTAAGGTTCTTCTAGTACAGGTTTAGCCTCCACTCATGTTGTGGTTCTTACTAAGTGGCTGTCTCTGTCTTGTGCTGTATAAAAGAATTGGCTGCCACTTAAACTAAACAATAAAGTGCCCCAAAGGGAAGCAGTGTCGTACAAGCTTTGACTTGTTACCACTGACAAGGATTTCATGAAAAGGATCAAAAGGATTTCAAAAAAAGGAGCAACCTAAAAGTTGCCTTGTTGAAGGCAACTTTTGGGTTGCATGTTCCAACACTTTCAGATTTGTTGGGATTTTTAGTTAGTATCATGTGTCATCTTTTGGAAATTGGTAGGCTAATTTGTTTCCCTCTTTTGCTTCTCCCTGTGCTGTGCAGACTGTTATGGTTCCAGGACCAAAATTGGACCCTAGTCAAGAATATGAAGACCCCATTGCTCCTCAACAGGCACCCAACCCAGTGACTCAGTAAAACAAATAATACCAGAAAACTACCCCATATGAGACAGAACGTGATTACATTGGATATTGGAGCTGCTGTTGAATGGAATGCTGCCACACTTAGAAACATTTCATCTTTTCATGCCTCTATTTCAGTCCTTTTTGCATCTAGACACAGAATTTGTATACACAATAAATTTTTTTCCCAATTTGAGAGTTCCAAGAGGCTGAAAGATGTTACATGGCATTGAGCAAACCAAAGATCTCCAATGTTGCTGTATCCGTTCAAGCCTTTCTGATTGCTGTTTGTTTAAATGGCTTGGTACTTGTTGCTGGAGTACATTTAAGACCAGTGTTTTCAATTCCTAACAATAAAAAGTTCTGTTTCTCAAGGCTACCTAGGAGGCATGTCTTTGATATTGGTTATATTTCTTAATACTAGATGGGCTATTCATGATTCTCCAGTGGTCCTGAACAAACTGTACATGCTGAGAGGCACACACATTTTTTTTCCACTAGTGTTGAGACTTGGCAGTGAAACTAGAACTTGACCTTTACATAAAGAAATCAGAAGTTAGCCTGCTTTGAGCTAAGATGTTCTCCAGACATTTGGTTTTAGAGCATTAAATGTGCAGTAGCTGCATAAAATCCAATCCTCTTCCTGCCAAGAGTTCCTTTTGCTAAACAATGGTGAATGGCTCCCCTATCAAATGCTAATATTCTTCTTGCTCCCCACTGCTAAAAGAGGCATTGAGAATTTAAATGCTGATTCAAAATTGTTGGGTAAGTATTTGGGATTCCTCCTGGATAGTCTCCAGGGGAGCAGTAGCCATGCTTGTCAATTGCAACAAAACAACAGAAGACTCTTGTGTCCCACTGAAGACTTAAGTTGTATTCAGTATAAAACTTGATAGCCTTCAAGGTATCACAGGATTCATTGAGGTTTTTTTTAAATTGTGTCTGTGACATCACTGCAAACAGTTGTTACCAAGCACATAAATTGATGAAACTGACTAATCTCAAGGCAAAATGCAAAGAAGTTTTCATTTCAGGTTAGTCTCTTGTAGACAGCCTGCCACGTACATAGCTGAGTGCTATACAGTATCCACAAGAAACACCAAGTAAGTCTATCCAAATTTTGCCATTGCAGTTTTAGCTCATGTGCTAAGATTCAAGTGTATGTGAGCCATTCATGATCCGCTTTTCTTGGGCCAACCTATGATCTCAACCTCCCCCATCACACTGACATTGTTCCAGTTCTTATGGGGAGAGTGAAGTTTGGCTCAGTCCTAGATTTCTTGAAAGAGGCTTTATTGAAAATTTCAGATTTGAAAATCATGTGCGGAATATACATACTCTTCTTTGTTATATGTATATTTCACTCTTTTAAAGGAGAACTTACACAGAAGTTTCCCTGGTGTAGTCTGGTTCAGGCAGATCTAGGTAGCTTCAACAAGATTATCATGCGCCTTCAAACTTTAGCACTGGTTGTAATATTTCAATATTAGTAACATTACTTTCTGTTGGAGATACTCACGCTATGTGAAGTGCTTCTGTACTACCAAGCAAGATTAATAATTCTTAAAAAAAGGTCTTTTCTTTAATTATTTTTGAAAAAGCAAATGCAAATTTGGATGGTTGCATGAATAGCCAAGATGGCTATTGCAGTATCTCTGATGATCCAAGACAGAATTTTTTGATTAATAGTTGATGGAGAACAGCAGCTGGTTGGAGAGCACTCTTCTGCTGCTTCTGGGCTTCCTAGAGGCTTCTGGATGCCTGCAACTTGTAACCTCCTGATTGTGTGCCTGCACTTCTGCATCTTCCTTTGTTATAGGTACTACGTATACAAAATTACAGTTCTGATAGGAACTTTTCAGATGTCCCTTCTCCCAACTCTTGGTTGCTTTATCCTTTTTCTGTGTGTGCCTGTCTGTTATGGCAGGAGTCGTCAATCCCCGGTCCATGGCCCGATGCGGGTCCGTGGGCTTCCTTTAACTGGGCCATAGACACGGTTCTCCACCCCCCCTGCACGTACGCATGGGAGGCATGTTGTGCTTTCAGAGGAGCGTGTCGTGCTTGCGGAGGGGCATGTCACACGTGCATGCGCATGAGCACGACACGCCCACCCACTCTCAAAATCTGCCTGGCTTCTAATTTCAGCCCAACCTAGAGCAGGAAAAGCAGCGGCAGCAAATACTTGGTGAGCGCAGGGCTTCCTCCCCACCGGCCCCACCCAAAGGGCCCATGCATCCAGAAGGGGAGCCCTCTCCCTGCCTGGCAATCTTCTCCCTCAGGGGTTTGCCGCCACCGGGGCATCTGCTTTTAGGACTCCCCCCCCCTCCGTGGCCAACAAGGAACAAACAAAAAGGAAAGGAATCTTGTTATCTAGTAGAACAAAGACTATTTTATATTTGTTTCTTCCATGTAGGCAGAACACAACATATTTCAAAATAGATTGTTATTGTCACCCAGTAGTTGAACATGTGTAGTAGTACCAAAGACTGAAAGGGAGCAGTTTTGCTTCAGTGTGAGTAGAATTCTGTCTTCAGGCCCTGATGTAGTTTAGATGCATGTAGGACATACCCACCATGTACCACAAAGAGTGCGACCATCCAATACTCCACTATTCCTTTCCATTCCCCAGTATATGACTTCTGAATCACCCATCCCCTTCTGCCTAACCAAATGCAGATTGAAAGAGGAAAAAAGGAAATTCAGTTTTTAAGCAAGGAACATCTTACTCCGACATGTCCAATTGAAGAGACAGTGGTCTGCTTATCCCTTTCCTATTAGAGGCTGGATGTCATTGTGGCCATTCTGACCGTGCATGCAACAACTCCAAACAATGATATTGTGTTGTATTGAGACCAATAATTGATTATTCTTTCTGCACTGCTTCTTCCATTCATTTTACCTTTTACCTGCATGATCAGTGGTAACAATCTGTCAGAGATTGCTACAAACATCATCTCCATCTGCAGCTCTTGGAAACTTCTGTTTAAAATTTGTAAGGGTCCAAACCTTGGACCTCTATCCTTCAGGATCAAGAGAGCTTTTTTTCTTATGTCCAAATGGGAAT